ACAAATCCGCGAGGGCTGGTAACTCAACAACCATATCTACCATATCTATCAACAAACTGTGTCACCTAAGCTCCAGTCCAAGCGCATGCCCTAATGCATTCATCATTGAACTGGCCGGACTACAATCGGACTACATTTGCACATACGCTGAGATCTGTTTAAAAAGGTTGTTTGAAATAATGTTCAATATCTTACACGGAGCAATCGTTTCGCTTAACAAGGCCTCAGTGTGTCAACAGGAGCCGTGGCTATGATTTGGATTTGTTTTAATGTGGTTATTTTTAATATCAAAACCTGGATTCAGGTCAAAATCTTCTTTAATGCTCTACCAAAGACAGAAAGGCACCCACTTCAAACAGGAAATTTCATTTTTTTGGGTGAACTATCCCTTTAAGCTGTCATGACCTGGCTTATCCAGCAGGGAACAGCTTGTTCTGAATCTCATAGAAAAATCTCAGTCCACCTTTGAACAACACCACACCCGTCATTCATCTGACGCTGATAACAGATGCTGGGCTGACTGTGTGTGTGTGTGTGCGTGTGTGTGTGTGTGTGTGTTCTGGCTCTTTTATTTACAGTATTTCTGTCTCTCTGTCTCTTCATCTCTGTTGTCATGGTTTCAGTCTGTGATCTCTGGAGATTCGGATATTCCTCAGGATCAGAATAGTCCAGCTGTGTTTGCTGATTAAACACCTCCAGACAGGATTATAATCGTCACACATGATGTGGAGTCAAATTTAACTGATGCTGGCTGCGTGTAGATGCGACTGGTAAGAATAAACTTAATTCAACTCAACATTTATCAGCATTCCAGAGATGCGAAGATCCATCAGAACAAATATACTTATTCATTCATTCATTCATTCATTCTCTTTTCAGCTTTATTCCTTTATAAATCAGGGGTCGCCACAACCAAATGAACCGCCAACTTATCCAGCATATGTTTTGCACAGCGGATGCCCTTCCAGCTGCAACCCATCCCTGGGAAATACACATACACACTCATACACACACATACATTCATTCATTCATTTTCTTGTCGGCTTAGTCCCTTTATTTATCCGGGGTCGCCACAGCGGAATGAACCGCCAACTTGTCCAGCAAGTTTTTACGCAGCGGATGCCCTTTCAGCCGCAACCCATCTCTGGGAAACACATACGGACAATTTAGCTTACCCAATTCACCTATAGTGCATTTGTTTGGACTTGTGGGGGGAAACCGGAGCACCTGGAGGAAACCCACGCCAATACGGGGAGAACATGCAAACTATACACAGAAATGCCAACTGATCCAGCCGAGGCTTGAACCAGCGACCTTCTTTCTGTGAGGGGAATGTGCTACCCACTGTGCAACTGTGCTGCCCATCAGGACAAGTATGATTACTATATTTACTGAAGTGGGTCATTAAAGATATTTTAATGTCTGAAATATACAGAGCAGAGTGATGATAACTATGAAACAAAACGAGAAGATGGGAACATTATTGATGATTTTATGTATTATTAATAATAATAATAATACTTAGTATAATATTGTCAAATAGTTTTATATTTTATAAATATATAAAATTAGGGACGGTTACTTTATTGTCATAAATGGGAAAAAATATATAGATATAGAGGCATCATTGTGGAAAAATATTTCTTAGCTTTCATTTACATTAATCATATTTCTCATTTTTTAAATGTATTAACAATCATTTTTAAAATTATAAAATAAAATTCTATAAAAAAAACATTTGTATTATATTTGTTATATATTTATAATATTAAAATAAATATATTACATGTATTATTCTTTTATTTTAAATATATATATATACACTACCTAGCAAAAGTCTTGTCGTCTATCCAAGTTTTAAGAACACCAAATAATAACTTGACTCCTAGTTGATCATTTGGTATCAGAAGTGGCTTATATGAGAGGCAAAGGCCTCTAGATTACAGTTATTTTACCAAAATAAAATATAATCATGCCACACAGTAAGGTCTGACTCTGCTTAGACAAAAGTCTTGTCACTGAACAGAAATAATGTCCAGTATAGAATATAAAGTCCTGCTGCAGTGGAGACAGAATAAATATTGTGTCTGACTCCATCAGGATCTTGGAGGACTGCATCCATACATCTCTGACATGACTCAAATTACTGATTAAAAAAGAAATCTGGAATGGCAAAGAAAGCGTTCATGCAGGACTCCCTGAGTTCATCAAGATTCTTTGGATTCATCTTCAATGCCTCCTCCATCTTACCCCAGACATGCCCAACAACGTTCATATCTGGTGACTGGGCTGGCCAATACTGGAGCTCCTTGGCCTTCTTTGCTTTCAGGAACTTTGATGTGGAGGCTGAAGTATGAGAAGGAGCGCTATCCTGCTGGAGAATCTGCCCTCTCCAGTGGTTTGTAATGTAACGGGCAGCACAAATGTCTTGCTCCCTCAGGCTGTTGATGTTGCAGATCTCTCACACGCTCCCATACTGAATGTAACCCCAAACCATGATTTTTCCTTCACCAAACTTGACTGAATACTGTGAGAATCTTGGGTCCATGTGGGTTCCAGTAGGTCTCCTGCAGTATTTGTGATAATTGGGATGCAGCTAAACAGATTTTCCAAATGATCAACTAGAAGTCAAGTTGTTATTTGTTGCTCTTACAACTGAGATAGACGACAAGACTATTGTCAGGTACTGTATGATAAAAATAATAACAATTATATTAGACAGAATTTAATTTCATTTAATTTATTTTACTTTTTGAAAATATATTCAATATGTTAAAAAATATAATTTCCGTTAAACAGAAATTGGGGGGGAAATAAACAGAGGGGCTAATAATTCTGACTTCAACTTTATATATAAATAAAATAAATGATGTAAAAATATTTATTTATATTTTGTGAAAAGCTAATCAAAAATTACACTATAAAAGAAAAAAAGAAAGAGATAAAAGAACATCAAGTTTGTTTTTTGTTTGTTTGTTTTTTCAAATTTGCCGTCTCTGAGTTTGTCCAGTGGATCAATATGTGTAGAAATGAGCCGAGGGTGTTGAGTGACTGACTCAAGAGTAAAGACAGATTCACTGAGTGTTAAGCCGAGTGATAAGAAGACAGAACCAGATGAACATCAGACACTCAGTACATGAGCTCTCACTATCTGCTAGTAATTAGTTCGCTGATGTACTGTGTGTGTGTGTGTGTGTGTGTGTGTGTGTGTGTGTGTGTGTGTGTGTGTGTGTGTGTGTGTGTGTGCCCGCTGTTTCACTCTCTCTCAGCGCTCAGTAAAAATCTGTAAAAAGCCAAAAGAAAGTCTCTGAAATCTATAATAAAACAATATTTTGTTCTATAGGTTGACACAAAAATAAACAAATATTAATATATGAAATCTTAATTAATATAACTTTATATAATATGTAACTATAGCATGAGAATTTCTCCAAGACATCTGCGACTGTAGGAGAACTTGTTCAAGAAATGTGTAATCTTCAAGGTGTTCGGCTGCTTTTAACTAGTTATCTTTCACCTTTGCCCGTCAGTTTTACGCACACTAAAGGTCACCTGGGATGAGATTGTGCTAGAAAGACACACATCGTAAAGGTGAAGATTAGGCAAGACTAAACTAAAATGGAGACTGAAATATGTACAGTATTTCAGCAGAAATTAAAAGGGACATTTCACCTGTAAATGTGTCAAATGTGCTGGTAATTTACTCTCCCTCAGGTCATCTAAGGTGTAGGCTGTATAAGATTTTTCTTTAGTAATACATTTGACAGGTTTTAGCTTTTTTGCAATAAAAAAATGAAGAAACTAAAGACAAAAAGTCACCAAGACCTGGATGGAGTTAAATCTCATATACTCGTATAGAATTGTTGTAAAAATGCAATAGCATGATATTTATATTGTATCAGCAAAGTGTTGTCTTCAAAAGGTGGTATTTGGTACAGTAAGATGAAAGAAATGAACATTTCCTTACTATTTACTCTCCCTCAAGTGGTTCCAAACTTTTATGAGTTTCTTTATTCTGCTGCACACAAGAAGATATTTTGAAAAATGTTGCAAACTTGTAAGCAGATTTCCTTAGTAGGAAAAAACAAATACTATGGAGGTCAATGGTTACAGGTTTTGAACTTTTTTTTTTTTTTTACATTTCCTTTTTTTGAGTTTAACAGAAAAAAAAAATATTCGAAACAAGTCAAATGTGAGTAAATGATGACAGAATTTTAATTTCTGTGTGAACTGACCCTTTAATGCTGTGACACACATGCTGAAACACACAATCATGTCAAGAGACTGAATCACTTTTGTAAAGGTCGTTTGTGTCTAGTCCAAGGACGCGATTATTTCACCACTGCCCAAATATACAGAGAAATACGCGAACGAGGTCGCTGATAGCGTCTGATGACATAATTCTGCTGCAGAGAATCCCGTTTAAACCTCAAGAGCGCGCACGGCGGAGCGAGAACGCGCGCGCCGCAGCGCCCTGATGTTGCTGGTGATCCGCACAGAGAGATACAGCCGCTCTTGAACGCCTGTAGGGCTGATTCCACGCAAAACCGCCTCCGTGGGGCCGGTTAATCCCGGGGGGATTAAATCCAGCGAATGCAGAAAAACGCCCAGATGAAGCGCGCACCGCTGTATGATGAAAAACAGATGTGCGCGCGCGGCGAACGCGAACAAGAATGCCGCCGTCAGGAATAACGAAGCTGTCAGTGACTCGCGTTTTAGCGTAACGTTTGACCCGTCACGTTGGATTTTAGACGCCTTCTTGCGTCACGGAGTCGTGTTTCACCACATAACGGGAAGCAAACCGCAGCATCAAATCATATGAACCGTTATTCCAGTCACCACTGCTCTCATGATTTAACGTTATCTTTAAAGCGCCAGACGGTTATAAATCATACATAACGCCTCTACCTGCAATTCTTCACCTCATAAAACACGAATATGACTATTATTGTGTGACAGGAATGAAGAAAAGAGGAGCGTGACAGAGCCACGCAACTTACCGGATTCTGCGGTTTTGTCCCGGTATTCCGTGTTATTATGGCTTCATATGATGTTCGTCCTGCAGTGACAGCGTGATATTAGTTCAAGCTGCCGGTGTTACTCGCGTTCGTGTGTGTTTGGAGGAGAGTGAGGGAGGAGAAACCGCACGACGCGGCGGAGGAGGAGGACCGGAGAACCAACCGGAGCGTTTTGGTCGCCACCTGCTGGCGAGTGTCCGTTACGGCGCTCTCAGCTTTTTTTAACTGCTGTTTAAGCAAAGGTGGAAAAGCGCATGCCGACGTCATCGACGTGACGCAAGAGTGACCTTGAGATACACACAGCTACAAAGCAGGGGACTATGTATAAATATCAAACAGGGTAACGTTTAGATGGGAGACTATGGAGCTTAAAATAGGACAACTGTCAATCATTCAAATGAACACAAGTCAAATTCAGATTGCTTTGTCATATTTTAAGCTCCATAGGACACAGCTGTGGATACTAAAATCAATATAGCTTCTGTGAGGCTACAACAATAATTATTATTTTCACATTAGTGTGAGGGGTGGGTTTAGTATTGGAGTAGGGATAGACGTTAATACAATACAATATAATGGGTCATTTAATAAATAATATGAATAATGCTTGCTATAATTACTGTTTTTACATTACTGTGAGTGTTGGAGATAGGGTTGGGGTAGACGTTAATAAAATACAACGGGTAATTCAACAAATAATTCTCTTTAATTCCGGCCACAAATGCATCTCTTCCAGCAACAACCATCAAACGCAGATGATGATGCTGGAGAGCATTTAGGATTGAGGAAAATGCTACACTTGTTATGGTGTTTGGTAAAATAAAGCAAACAGAATCAACGTCACTGATTTAATAATTTAATTGATTTTGGATCGTGCAGAGTTTTATTGTGCTGTGCTGGCAGGGATGTGAACACTTCCTGGTCAAACCGCAACAAAATAAATAATAAATAGAAAAGAGTAGTCTAGCGTTACGTCCCTCAGGATTTGTGCATTCGTTAAAGGGACAGTTCACCTAAAAATGACAATTCTGTCATTTACTTTTTACTAGCTTGAGTTTCTTCTGTTGTACACAAAAGAAGATATTTAGAAAAATGTTGTAAACCACTGACACAACATGAATGTTTTCATTTCGTTAGCGTTACGAAATCAATTTTTGATACAATTCAAATAAAAACATTGTTATTTCACTGTTATTTTCTGGGGGGGGGGGATCTCTTAATAACAATATTTGATTTAAATGTTGAATAAACGTCATCTGACTTTAAAAGAATAAGCTATATATTATCATTCTACTTAAACCCAAACCTAATCCAGAAAAAAAAAATGTAAAAAGTGATCTCTTGATTATTTTTCAATGTTGTGTGTGTGCACTATTGTAGTTTACGAGGACACAAAATAGTATAATTACTTAAATATGACTGAGTCATACTCTATTAACGTGGTTTCTCCATTCAAGCCATGTCCTTGTAGTGTTAAACGCTTAGAATCATGATCAACTGTTTGTTTTTTACATTCAAACCTGGCCATGTTTCCTATGGGGGGTTGGGTTTAGGGGTAGAGGTGGGTTAAAGTCATAAAATAAGTGTTTTTTTTACTGTACAAAGTACATTACGTTTAGAGAGTCCTCATAAACCACCAAACCCAACATATATGTCTTTGTGTGTATATTTATGATACATTTTCATTTAGTTGTGTACTAATGTAGTACTAATTTAAGAAAACACAAAATAGTATAATTACTTAGGTATGACTGAGTTGTATTTATTAAGGTGCTTTCTCCATTCAAGCCATGTCTTTGTAATGTTAAATGCTTAAAAGTCATGCTTAACAGAGTTTTTTTTGACATTCAAACTTGGCCATGTTTCTTGTGAGGGTTGGGTCTGGGGGTAGGGGTGGGTTACGGTCATAAAATAAGTGTGTTTTACAGTATAAATCACATTATGCCTATGAAGAGTCCTCATAAACCACCAAACCCAACATATCTGTGTTTGTGAGTATATTTAGTTTCATTTAGATGTGCACTAATGTAGTTTACAAGAACACAAAATTGTAAAATTAGTTGGGCATGACTGAGTTGTATTTATTAAGGTGGTTTCTCTAATCAAGTCATGTCCTTGTAATGTTAAATGCTTAAAAGTCATGCTTACCAGGGTTTTTTGACATTCAAACTTGGCCATGTTTCCTGTGAGGTTTGGGTTTAGGGGTAGGAGTTGGATAAAGTCATGAAATAAGAGTTTTTACAATATAAAATACATTACGCCTATGGAGAGTCCTCATAAATAATAATAATAATTGGTATAGTTACTGTTTTTACGTTACTGTCAGTGTTGGATGTAGGGTTGGGGTAGATGTTATTAACATACAATGGGTACATCAATAAATAATTCTCTTTAACAGGTTTTTTTTCACATTCAAACTTGGCCATGTTTCTTGTGAGGGTTGGGTCTGGGGGTAGGGGTGGGTTAAGGGCATAAAATAAGTGTGTTTTACAGTAAAATACACATTACGCCTAGGAAGAGTCCTCATAAACCACCAAACCTTACATATCTGTGTTTGTGTGTATATTTAGTTTGATTTAGATGTGCACTAATGTAGTTTACAAGGACACAAAATCGTAAAATTAGTTAGGCATGACTGAGTTGTTCTCTATTAAGGTGGTTTCTCTAATCAAGCCATATCCTTGTAATGTTAAATGCTTAAAAGTCATGCTTACCAGGGTTTTTTGACATTCAAACTTGGCCATGTTTCCTGTGAGGTTTGGGTTTAGGGGTAGGAGTTGGATAAGGTCATAAAATAAGTGTGTTTTACAGTATAAATCACATTACGCCTATGGAGAGTCCTCATAAATAATAATAATACTTGGTATAGTTACTGTTTTTACGTTACTGTCAGTGTTGGATGTAGGGTTGGGGTAGACGTTATTAACATACAATGGGTACATCAATAAATAATTCTCTTTAACAGGGGTTTTTCACATTCAAACTTGGTCATGTTTCTTGTTAGGGTTGGGTTTAGGGGTAGGGGTGGGTTAAGGGCATAAAATAAGTGTGTTTTACAGTATAAATCACATTATGCCTATGAAGAGTCCTCATAAACCACCAAACCCAACATATCTGTGTTTGTGTGTATATTTAGTTTGATTTAGATGTGCACTAATGTAGTTTACAAACACACAAAATCGTAAAATTAGTTAGGCATGACTGAGTCGTACTCTATTAAGGTGGTTCCTCTAATCAAGCCATGTCCTTGTAATGTTAAATGCTTAAAAGTCATGCTTACCAGGGTTTTATGACATTCAAACTTGGCCATGTTTCCTGTGAGGTTTGGGTTTAGGGGTAGGAGTTGAATAAAGTCATAAAATAAGAGTTTTTACAGTATAAATCACATTACGCCTATGGAGAGTCCTCATAAATAATAATAATACTTGGTATAGTTACTGTTTTTACGTTACTGTCAGTGTTGGATGTAGGGTTGGGGTAGACGTTATTAACATACAATGGGTACATCAATAAATAATTCTCTTTAACAGGGGTTTTTCACATTCAAACTTGGTCATGTTTCTTGTGAGGGTTGGGTTTGGGGGTAAGGGGGGTTTAAGTTCATAAAATAAGTGTGTTTTACAGTATAAATCACATTATGCCTATGAAGAGTCCTCATAAACCACTAAACCCAACATATCTGTGTTTGAGTGTATATTTAGTTTGATTTAGGTTTAGGTTTCTCTAATCAAGCCATGTCCTCTAATCAAGCCATGTTAAATGCTTAAAAGTCATGCTCACCAGGGTTTTTTGACATTCAAAATTGCCCATGTTTCCATGTGGGTTTAGGGGTAGGGGTGGGTTAAGGGCATAAAATAAGTGTTTTTTAAAGTACAAAGTACATTATGCCTATGGAGAGTCCTCATAAACCACCTAACCCAACATATGGGTGTTTGTGTGTATATTTAGTTTGATTTAGATGTGCACTAATGTAGTTTACAAGGACACAGCATAGTATAATTACTTATGTATGACTGAGTCATACTCTTATTAAGGTGTTTTCTCCATTCAAGCCATGTCCTTGTAATGTTAAACAGATACAAATGATGCTTAACTGTTTGTTTTTTGACATTCAAACTTGGCCATGTTTCTTGTGAGGGTTGGGTTTAGAGGTAGTGATGGGTTACGGTCATAAAATAAGTGTTTTTTTACAGTATAAAATACATTATAATGTATGGAGTGTCCTCATAAACAACCAAACCCAACATAAGTGTGTTTGTGTGTATATTTAGTTTGATTTAGATGTGCTCTAATGTAGTTTACAAGGACACAAAATAGTATAATTACTTGGGTATGACTGAGTCGTACTCTATAAAGGTGGTTTCTCCATTCAAGCCATGGAGAGTATGGAGAGTCCTCATTAACCACCAAACCCAACATATGTGTGTGCATATTTAGTTTTTAGGTGTAAAATATTACCTTTTTTCCAAGGCTGCACAAGATTCATCCACATAAATTATTTTGATAATTTAAACATTAAAACCAATGTAAGAAACATTCATGGCTCATTTGGCACAGTGTGAAAATCCTACATGTCCCACAATGAATAAAACACACCTGCTGGACTTATTGAGAGGCGTCTGACCTCATTCATTCAGACAGACAGTCTCAATGAATGCACAGTATGTTGTGTGTGTGTCTCAGCTGGACTGAGGCTCTGTAGATGTAACCGGTGTCTCCAGCCCGACTCTCTTTAGTGATTCTTCATACTTCCTCTTCCCCAGAGTCACTATGTCCTCTACTTCCTCTGCCAAGTCCCGCCTACCACTGTCCACCAGCGCTGTCATTAGCCGCTGCACCGCCCCAGGCCCCGCCCCCTGCTGCCCTCTAGCCCAATGAAAGAGCATCGCCAGTACCTGCGCCCCGAAGTTATCCCTGACAAAAAAAGGAAAATAGGGAAATGCCATTTTAATTTTTTGTTAATAATTATATTTTACATTTGTTAGTTAATTAGTAAAAACGATCTCACTCGCCTTACTGAACAATATTAGTTAAGTAAATAAATAGGTATGGAGGAATAAAACAAGCAAAATGAAGCACATAATATGTTATTAAATAAATATACTATTATTAAATAAAATAATGCAGTGTATGATTTGTGAAACTATTGATATTTAATTTTTTGGGGAATGTAATGCATATTTTTTGTATAAAATAAAATAACGCAGTATATGATTAGTAAAATATTACTGATATATACATTTTTTTAAATGTAAATTAAATATTGTAATAATAAATCAAATTAAGCAGTATATGATTATTGAAATATTACTGATAAATGCATGTTTATGTCAATAAATATTATTATTAATAAATAAAATAATGCAGCATATGATTAATGAAATATTACTGATATATGCACTTAATAATGTGATTAAATATTTTCAATATTATTATTATTAATAAATAAATTAATGCAGTATATGATTAGTGAAATATTACTGATATATGCATTTAATAATGTGATTAAATATTTTCATTATTATTATTATTAATAAATAAATTAATGCAGTATATGATAAGTGAAATTATTGATCAAAGATTTTTTAATTTAATAAATTAAATATTATTATTAAATCAAATAACGCAGTATATGATTAGTAAAATATTATTGATATATGATTTTATTTTTATAAAAGTGAATTAAATATTATTATTAATAAATAAATTAATGCAGTATATGATTAGTGAAATATTACTGATATATGCATTTAATAATGTGATTAAATATTTTCATTATTATTATTATTAATAAATAAATTAATGCAGTATATGATAAGTGAAATTATTGATCAAAGATTTTTTAATTTAATAAATTAAATATTATTATTAAATCAAATAACGCAGTATATGATTAGTAAAATATTATTGATATATGATTTTATTTTTATAAAAGTGAATTAAATATTATTATTAATAAATAAAATAATGCAGTATATGATTAGTGAAATATTACTGATATATGCATTTAATAATGTGATTAAATATTTTCATTATTATTATTATTAATAAATAAAATAATGCAGTATATGATTGGTGAAATACTGATATATGACATCATTTGAAATGCAATAAATTAAATATTATTTCTATTAATATAATAATGCAGTATATGATCAGTGAAATATTACTGATGAGATTTTTTGATATGCAATAAATTAAATATTATTATTAATAATAAAATAATCAGCATATGATTAGTTATTTATATATAATTTTTAAAAATGTAATTATCATAATTTTCACTATAACCATAGAGTATAATGGGAACAGCATAAGAAAAACCTAAAAAGATCAAATTTAACTGAATTTGATTTTATTGATTGCAACATTTCAAAACGGACATCAGAAAATGACACGTGTGTGCGCGTGTGTGTGTATGTGTGCGTGCATGCACGCGTGAGTGTGTGGAGTTTCCTGCAGAGTCCCAGATGGCTGAGCGATAAACACAAACATACACAATTCTCCTTCATTCTTTCCTTCATCAAACACACACACACACTCACTCACTTTCTCTCTCTCTCTCTTCAATGCATTCCCCAGAGTCATTATGAGTACATTTACATCAGCGCAAACAAGACTATTCAAACCAATCCATTAACAAAAACGTATTTCTGTAAATGATCCTGAACAGCTCATGAATATTAATGAGGCAGTAGTAACTGGCTTGGTAATAATTCCAATACTCTATTTAGTAATTGTTTAGTCACTAGATAGTAAACGTTGTAGACATACTTTAATGCTGAAACAACAATGTATTGTTATAAAGTTACTAAAATGTATTGCTAGCATATTTATAGCAACACCGCTAATGTGATTTACCATTTTGGTAATGTTTGACCTCAGTGTTAACATACAGGATGTTCCTATCATATTTCTATGCATGATTTCTCATAACGCTAGCATGGCTTAGCACATACTGTAGCTAGCCTGCCCGCTCGTAGCACATTTGACTACATTAGCGACATGGTAAATAATCTAAACAACACATGTAAGCATGTCGCCAGTGTAATCTTGTCATTTATGTCCTGCTAAAAGCTCAAATTAAATCCACAAATATGTTCCTAAATTCCGTTAATTCATTGCATTTTGCAATTAATTACAGTGTTTTAACAATTGTGAGGATTATTAAGTGGATCCAGGGATCAGGAGTGTGTAAAATTTGTAGTAAATGTGTCATTTAAAGGGATAGTTCACCCCAAAATTAATATTTACTCACCATTTATGTACCTTTAAGTAATTCCAGACTTGTTTGAGTTTCTGAGTTTCTGAGTCTGTTAAACACAAAAGGAGATATTTTGAAGAATGTTGAAAACCTGTAACCATTGACTTCCATAGAAGAAACAAAAAATACTATGGAAGTCAATGGTGACCGGTTTCCAACATTCTTCAGAATATCTACTTTTGTGTTTGATAGAAAATAGAAACTCAAGCCACTCTTAAATAAGGAAAGGGTGAGTATATGATGAATAACTGTTCATTTTTGGCAGAAATCTCTCTTTAAAGTTCACATTAACTTCTTTGATTTTGTATTGTGACGAAGTTCCTTGAAAAAACTGTACAAAAGCACGCACATCCCTCTTAACTGGGTGCTCAGCCAAAAAAACGCAAAAAGTACAAACTAAATATTAATCAATGGCAGCAGCACCAACGCTCCAAAAATACAAATTTATTAAATTAAAAAGGCTGACACAAAGCGTGTAACGTTTCGAGCCACACGGCTCTTCATCAGACTTTAAAAAAAAATCATATATCAATAATGTTTTACTAATTATATACTGCGTTATTTGATTTAATATTAATATTTAATTTATTACATAAAAAATCTTTGATCAATAATTTTACTTTTCATATACTGCATTAATTTATTTATTAATAATAATAATAATGAAAATATTTAATCACATTATTAAATGCATATATCACTAATATTTCACTAATCATATACTGCATTCATTTATTTATTAATAATAGTAATAATAAAAATATTTAATCACATTATTAAATGCATATATCAGTAATATTTCACTAATCATATACTGCATTCATTTATTTATTAATAATAATATTTAATTCACATTTTCAAAAAAATCATATCAATAATATTTTACTAATCATATACTGCGTTATACTGCGTAAATAATAATATTTAATTTATTACAATATAAAATCTTTGATCAATAATTTCCTTATCATATACTGCCATAATTTATTTATTAATTATAATAATAATGAAAATATTGAATCACATTATTAAGTGCATATATCAGTAATATTTTACTAATCATACACTGCTTTATTTTATTAATTAATAATAACATTTAATGACATAAACATGCATTTATCAGTAATATTTGAATAATCATATACTGCTTTATTTGATTTATTATTACTATATTTAATTTACATTTTAAAAATGTGTATATCAGTAATATTTTACTAATCATATACTGCGTTATTTTATTTAATGCAAAAAATATGTATTACATTCCCCAAAAAATTAAATATCAATAGTTTCACAAATCATACACTGTATTATTTTATTTAATAGTAGTATATTTATTTAATAACATACTATGTGCTTTATTTTGCTTGTTAAAAATGCTGACACAAAGCGTGTAACGTTTCGACCCACATAGCTCTTGAAGAGCCGTGTGGCTCGAAACGTTACACGCTTTGTGTCAGCCTTTTTCATTTATTAAATTTGTATTTTTGGAGGCTTGGTGTTGCCGCCTTTGATTAACATTTAATTTGCACTTTTGACGAAGTTCCTTGAGAAATTAAATATTAAATGACAAAGCAGTGGGTGTGGCTTGTTTTTTCTACTGCGAGCTGATTGGATGTAGTAAGGTAGGCATTTCATTCAGAAAGATAGGAAATAGGGTTTCGGGAGTGTTAATGCAACCTAACAGACTCCTCCTCCTCACCACTTCTGTTAGTTGCCAAAACTGACAGCTGGAGGGGCGTGGTTAAGTATGTTAGCCCCGCCCAATACCTCAGACAGAGGTTGTTGCTAAATCGGATATGGTTAAAGCCGGAAGTTGACGAGAATTATTTATATTATTTATTAAATTTCCCATTTATTGTATTTTATTAACGTCTACTCTTCACAGCACTGTAGAAACAGTAGTCGTACCGAGTATTATTTATGTTATCTATTAAACTACCCTATTAATTGTATTTTTTAATGCCTACCCCCACCCCAACCCTAAACCCAACCGTCACGCTGATATATTGATGTGCATATCACACTATACTGGCCGCGTATACAATCTAGACTTAACCTCAGACAGACCTAATCTAAGAATTTAACTGAAAACAAACAGGAAGTGCATTTTCAGATTTCAATTTTAGATTACTATTATTTTTTCTTAATGACATGCACGGATGAATTGTTAACCACTATGTGCAATGTGAGCTAACCAAATCGACATGTTTCGTCTTGAGTCCATGTGTACTTTAAAGGGGACTGTAGTGATCTCAGCGCCCTCTGCTGGCGCTCCCTCACCTGTGCTGGTGGCGGATGCGCTCCAGCTGCTCGTAGCTCATGCCCAGGTTGATGCCGATGTTTTGCCACTCCTGGTTGATGCGCAAGGAGATGGACAGCAGGTTGGTCTGGGTCAGGTATCCGCTTTCTGGGTCGCCCAGATTCAGCTCACCTGAGATGCTCCCGTCAATCTCTGAGTTCTGTTTCACAAATGATTCCAGATGAGTTGACCATTTTATCATATGCACAATAATCTGAACACACACACACACACACACACACAGTAAATATTTTATTAAATTCATTGTTTAAATAAAATACAAGACCGGCCACTTTATTAGGTACACCTGTCTAACTGCTTGTTAACGCAAATGCATTGCCCAGAGGTCAGAGGAGAATGGCCAGACTGGTTCCAGCTGATAGAAAGGCAACAGTAACTCAAATAAGCACTCGTTACAACCGAGGTCTGCGGAAGAGCATCACTGAACACACAACACATCCAACCTTGAGGCAGATGGGCTACAGCAGCAGAAGACCACACCGGGTGCCACTCCTGTCAGCTAAGAACAGGAAACTGAGGCTACAATTCACACAGGCTCAGCAAAATTGGACAATAGAAGATTGGAGAAACATTGCCTGGTCTGATGAGTCTCCATTTCTGCTGCAACATTCGGATGGTCGGGTCAGAATTTGGCGTCAACAACATGAAAGCATGGATCCATTCTGCCTTGTATCAACAGTTCAGGCTGCTGGTGGTGGTTTACTGGTGTGGGATATTTTCTTCGCACACTTTGGGCCCATTAGTACCAATTAAGCATCATGTCAATGCCACAGCCAACCTGAGTGTTGTTGCTGACCATGTCCATCCCTTTATGACCACAGTGTACCCATCTTCTGATGGCTATTTCCAGCAGGATAACACACCATGTCATAAAGCGTGAATCATCTCAGACTGGTTTCTTGAACATGACAATGAGTTCACTGAACTCAAATGTCCTCCACAGTCACCAGAGCTCAATCCAATAGAGCACCTTTGGGATGTGGTGGAATGGGAGATTCGCATCATGGATGTACAGCCGACAAATCTTCAGCAACTGCGTGATGCTATCATGTCAATATGGAGCAAAATCTCTGAGTAATATTTCCAGTACCTTGTTGCCATGAAGGATTAAAGCAGTTCTGAATGCAATAGTGGGTCCAACTCTGTACCAGTAAGGTGTACCTAATAAAGTGGCCAGTGAGTGTATATTACATATTAAATTTGTACATTACCTAAAATGTAAAAAGTAAGTTCTCATTATCATTTAATTTATAATTTATAGTTGTGTGTTCATGAAAAAACATTCTTCAAAATATCTTCTGTGTTGAACAGAAGAAAGAAACTCATGAAGGTTTGAAACAAATGAAGTGTGAATAAATGATGACATAAGCTGCGTCCCAAATGGCACACTATACAGTATGCATTATGTACTTATGCACTTACACACTCAACGGGATAGTATATGTATGTAGTGTCATCCCAATTGGAGCACTAATGTTTTTTTTCTTAGCAGAAATTCAAACCGTTTCCCTGATGATGTTTGACGGTCGCCAAATCAGTGAAATAAATATCAAATAATACCTGCCATGAGTATAACCGCATTTACCATCAGGAGGCGCTATAATCACTCTCGTAGGAGAATTTTGCTTTCACAATCTAAAATAAATAAAGTTATCCAACATGTGCGGTCGATAGCTCCGCCCCTTCCGCAAAGTGAGCAAACCTGTGGTCGTTGAGTGCGTGAAGTGTCCATCATTACACACTTCATTTTAGCGGCTGAATGAGTGCATCATCCGGGTAATTAAAGTGCACTTATTATTTGTTGAGTTTTCAGTGTGAACACACTACCTACACTATTTATACTACAAAATGGCGTAGAATAGTGCACAAGTGGGACGCAGTTAGAATGTTAGTTTCTGTGTGAACTCTCCCTTTAAGATTTGGAGCTTACAGGAATCCGCAGAGGAAGTGTCGCCATCCACTGGTCATCGTGACCTTTTCTTTTTCTGGCCACTTCCTCTGGAAGATCACTAGGCACTTCACCCCGGTAAAAAGACACCTGCAGTACAAAGGTCTCGTTAATCAAATTGATCAGAATTGATTAAATATTAAAGGGACTGCTCACCTAAAAATAGAAATGCTGTCATTTGCTCACTCTTTGCTGGTTTCTTTATCCTGTTGAACACCAAAGATATTTTGAAGAATGTTGGAAACCTGTAACCATTGACTTCCATAGTATTTGTTTTTCCTACAATGGAACATTTTTCAAAACATCTTGTTTTCTCTTCAACAGGATAAAGAAACTTGTAAAGCTTTAGAACCACATCAGGGAGAGTAAATAATCAGAACATCTTCATTTTTGGGTAAACTACCTTTAAACACAGAAGACAAATCAGTCTCACCTGTCCTCTAACAGTGGTCTGGACCGGGTGGGTCGCGCACACGTAGACCTCTTTAATGTTCTTCAGGTGAGAGTAAAAGGTGAACGAGAGTCTGCCATCTTTACAGTCTGGACGGTCTGAGGACACAGTCATTCAGATTAATGTTCACATGTTTCTTGTTTGCTTCTACCGGTGCTCTATTCGATCTGCCCACCTGAGTTGATGTCAATGCCTCTCTCAAAGCCAGCGAAAAACTGCTCTCCCTCCAGCAGGACACACAGCTCAGACGGCTGAGGGCCTTCATACTGATCCGCCAGAGACTCCAGCCGGCTTTCAGCCTGAACACAGTATAGCCTGTGCAGTTAAAATGAGCCTGTAGTTCAAATGATGAATGCAAAAAACCCTCTATGTCTTTGTGTTTATTATAAGATACGATGTAGTGGTGGCCAGCCCTGTTCCTGGAGAGCCACCTTTCTGCCGATTTCAGAGGCTACCCATATAAAACACACCTGAACCAATTTATTAGGACCTGAATACTATGTGATAATTACAGGCAGGTGTGTTTGATATGGGTTGCAACTGAAATCTGCAGGAAGGTGGCACTCCAGGAACATGGTTGGCCAACCCTGATGCAGTAGGAGCACAAAGAAGAGTGGCATTTTTCTGAAAGAGTACGACAGTTGAACAAAATAAAGTTCAAGAGTTCACACTTAGCTCATGATTTATACATGGCTTGTTTGGCATGCTGTCCCGAGAGAGAGCCCTGAGCTCAAGGGATCCTCGAGCGCAGGGCTCCCCCCCTTATGCAGGGCGAGTGGAGATTGAGCTCAGGTCTATCTCAAACTCCCCCACTGCTGAGGCCAAGGCAAACTTCCTGAGAGTAAGACATTATAAAAAAGGTTTAGGCTTGTCTTATCTATAATATAGAGCACATTTGGATGGTGGGAGGAAACCGGGGAGCCCGGGGGAAACCCACACGGGCACAGGAAGCACTTGCAAACTCCACACAGAAATACCAGATGGCTCAGCGAGGACCCAACACCATTGGTATTCTTGCTGTGAGGCAACAGTGCTAGTCACTGGGCCACCGTGCCGCCCATTCTGGATAAAGGAGGAAGAAGGGGAGGAGGGGGGTTTCTTCCAGACGAAGATAGTTGTAGAAAGGAAATGAGGATATATATAGTGATTTGGGATCCTTTGATTGGAGGATCATAATCAGCTAATGTAAACCAGCTGGGTCAATCATGAGCATATGCTCCTCTCGAAATTAGTTTAAAATTAAACTTCACTTAATTTATGTAGTCATTTTTTAATAATATCATTGCATAGAATACAATCATTTATCGATATGGCAGCAGAGATATTGTGTGCGGCACTTTTCACTTGCACTATTATACAGTGTCTATTCAGATACAGCCCATAACTTCTTTAGGCTGCATTTACACTGCAGATCTTGATGGTCAATTGTGATTTTGTGACTGTATTGGATTTTTTTGATGAGCTGCTTACTTCATCTTTTAAAAGTGACTCGTATCCGATTGTCTGCATTTACACAGCACACGGCAAAGGCGCAAAGACCAGGAAAAAAGAGCTAACAGCTAACAGCTGATAATTAAAGAGTGCTCTTTTCTCTACTCCTGTATGTAATCTGGTCACAGCTTTTGACAAGCTGTTTCACTATAGTTCATGACAGAAAGGTTCTCATTTGTCCATCTTCTTTTGATGTAAAGGCTTTTTTAAACCTTTAGGCATCTTAATGTAATGTCCATGGCGTGATTTATGATGTATGCGCTAGTTTTATATTAGTTTATATTGGTTACGTGGCGGACATTGCGCTCTCGTTAACATGCTTATGCCTGTGCTATATGACAATATAAAAGCTGTTTCAGTCCTCGTGTATGAGATGTAAGGTTTGGGACTGAAGTTTGTTCTGAAATGAAAGTGTCTGACTTGGCAGCATTCTCTATGGTTTTTAATGACGTGCAACTCGCATTGACAGGTGAAAATCTGATCTACCTGCTTACACTGCAGACACAAGAACACAAATCCAATTCATATCGGATAAATTTCCACATATGAACAAGGCCTGAATCTGATTTAAGTAAATCGGAATCCATGTGATTTGTTCCTGCTAACACGTACACGGGTCATATCCGATCTGTGGCACATGGGAGAAACAAATCAGAATTGAGTCACTTAAACAGGGCAGTGTAAATGCCGCCTTAGGCTGCGTCCGAAACAGCATACTTCCATACTATATAGTACGCTAAAATCAGTAGTATGTCAGAATTCATAGAATTCCAAAATCAGTAGGCGAGAAGTACCCGGATGACTTACTACTTCCGGCGAGATTCTGAAGTGCGCATCCCATGCACACTGCGCTATCCCATAATGCCCCGCGAGAGAATTCATGAATGGAAGTGATTGACGCAACTGACGCAGGTAGGTCACGTGACCATGACAAAATGGCGGATGTAGTACGTCCGAATTCTATTCATGCTTTTTACATTCATACTATACAGATTGTACTTTTCTACCGGCCGAGTAGTATGTTTAAATTCAAATGCAGTACCTACTGAGGAGTAGGCGGTTTCGGACGCAGCCTTAGTTTATAATCAAATCAGCTGTTTTAAACTATTTTTTTTTAAATGAGTAACTCAATGAATCACTCATTAGGGCAGGGATTTGTTGCCACCTACTGGTCATTTCAGTGTCATATGTTTTTTTAATCCGTGACAAGCCCAAGACACAGATTGTTATTGAAAAATCACCATAAATATAGCAGTATCCACTTTAGTCCTGCTTTATATTAAGTGACCTCATTTACTAATTAATTAATCAATTATTTAGTACAATACACAAACTATGTACATACATGTTTTTATATTGGACTAATATGTAAAATAATATCTGTTTGTAATTACATCTGTAATTCATTCATTCATTCATTTTCTTGTCGGCTTAGTCCCTTTATTATTCCGGGGTCGCCACAGCGGAATGAACTGCTAACTTATCCAGCAAGTTTTTACGCAGCGGATGCCCTTCCAGCCACATCTGTAATTGATTCCTGTAATTACATTAAGAATTGCCCATCCCTTACCTTAACCCAACCTTAAACCTACCTGGACCTGTCTCTAACCCTACCCCTATCCCATTTCAAGAGCATCAGAAGAGTTCTGCAATACTATATGAACACAAGATGTACATTCTATGTTTTTATGATATAAAAATGTTCTTAATCTACACTACCTGACAAAAGTCTTGTTGCCTATCCACGTTTTAGGAACAACAAATAATAATTTGACTTCTAGTTGATCACTTAGTATCAGAAGTGGCTTATATGAAAGGCAAAGGCCTCTAGGACAGATATAATGTCCAGTATAGAATATAAAGTCCTGCTGCAGTGGAGACAGAATGAATATTGTGTCTGACTCCATCATGAGCTTGGAGGACTGCATCCATACATCTCTGACATGACTCAAATCACTGATTAATAAAGTCATCTGGAATGGCAGAGAAAGCGTTCTTGCAGGACTCCCAGAGTTCATTAAGATCCTTTGGATTCATCTTCAATGCCTCTTCCTCCATCTTACCCCAGACATGCTCAATAATGTTCATATATGGTGACTGGGCAGGCCAATCCTGGAGCACCTTGACCTAGAGATCTGCGCGGGAGAACAAAACCGGGGGGAGAACAAAACCGAAAATCACCCAGCTATACAGAGTCCAGACAGCCAAGCTGTCTGTATAAACACACACACACACACACACACACACACACACACACACACACACACACACACACACACAGCACCAAGCACACACACACACAGACAAAGCTCTCTCTTTCTCATACGCGCGCGCACGAACACACACACAAGCACCAAGCAGACACACAGGCGTTTGCTGTTATATCAACTCAAAGACTTGTAATACCATGTATCAAGTACCAATGTAATACCAAAAGGTTTTATATAAAGGTATATAAATACTGTCGCGCCAGCTCCTGGCCGCAGCGCACATTTATTACTCTCGGGCCGATTCCGGCGCGGATGCGGCAGCGTCGGCTCGCTTACGGCCACCGCGCTCTCTCTCTCTCCCTTTCTCTCTCTCTCTCTCTCTCTCTCTTTCGCGCGCGCACTAACATACACACACACAAGCACCAAGCGCACACACAGGCAAAGCTCTCTCTCTCTCTCTCATTCGCATAGCAATATCCGCGATATTGCTAGACAGCCTGCTCCCATCCCAAATTAAACCCGTTACCGACCGATCCCGCGATTTATTCGGAAATTTATTCCCGCGCCGTAGAAATCTGGTCGGGTCCCGCGGGAATGCAGACCTCTACCTTGACCTACTTTACAGATCTCTCACATGCCCATATACTGAATGTAACCATGATTTTTCCTTCACCAAACTTGACTAATTTCTATGAGAATCTTGGGTCCATGCGGGTTCCAGTAGGTCTTCTGCAGTATTTGTGATGATTGGGATGCAGCTCAACAGATGATTCATCAGAAAAATCCACCTTCTGCCACTTTTCCAAATGATCAACTAGAAGTCAAGTTATTATTTGTTGCTCTTACAACTGGGATCAGTATAAAGTGGGACCTCATTTTTTGTCTATATCACACCCTTATTGAGAATGATGGAGGTTTTCTCTCTCACACACCTTGTCAGATGGCAGGCACTGCAGCAGAATCTGCTCTGGGTCGTTTTTCCTCTGTAGCGCCAGGAATCGAACCCGAAACTGTTTCAATCGGCGATACATCTTTCTGACCACTCCGCTAACACACCTGTGAGTGGTGTACCACAACCAGTACCTGAACACACACACACAAATATCATACATACGCAAATATCATACATACACAAACAAACACACATATGTCAGACTGTATGGGTTCACATTAGATTGTGTGTGTGTGTGTGTGTGTTTGCAGTTGCTCACCATGAGAAGTGTGTGATGAAGAAGACGGCGTAGATGTGTGTGACGTACAGGGACACTTGAGCGGTGACGTCTGTCCAGGTGTGGGCCGTGGGGTCGCCATGCATCAGGTGCAGACGGGACAGGTCCAACATGTGTCCTGAACACACACACACACATATATATATATATATTTAGATATATTTATATATATTTATATATAAATGTGTGAACCTAAAACTTTCATCTACAGTAAGCAGTAGTACTTTACACAGTACAATAGTTTAGCAGTATGTAAACATAGCAGTTTTCCACCAAACAAATGTTCTGTGATTTTCTATCATTCAAAAATTTTAATATTAATTATTACGTTTACTTAATTTTTAAATTTTTTAAATGCCAGTATAAATATATATACAGCACAACAGTATACTTGAATTTTATACTATAACATTAAACTATAAACTATAAATTTTGTAAAAATAAAAGACAGATTCAAGACTAAATGTTTGAAAGTGAAGAACTCGCTTCAAACTGTAACTTACTGTTACAATTTAAAAAAAAATAATATATTTAAAACTGTAATATATATATATATATATATATATATATATATATATATATATATATAGTATCTGTAGTTTTAGGTGCTGCACATCTTGTATCTTCACACCATAGACAACAAAGATAGTGGGGCCATTCTTCATCAATGGAAACCTCAAGGCCACTGGATAATTGAAATTGCTACATGATGATGCGTTTCCCTCTTTATGCACTGAAGCTGGCACGTTCCCAGTTTTTCCAGCAAGATGGTGCACCACCACATTATGGGTGTCAGGTCCAAGCCTTCATAGATGAACAGTTTCCTGAAAAGTGGATTGGTCGTCGTGGGCCAGTTGATTGGCCCCCAAGGTCTCCCGATCTGTCTCTCTTAGACTTTTATCTTTGTGGTCATCTGAAGGCAATTGTCTATGGTGTGAAGATACAAGATGTGCAGCACCTGAAACTACGGATACTGGAAGCCTGTGCTGGCATTTCTCCTGCGGTGTTGCTATCAGTGTGTGAAGAGTGCGAGAAGAGGCTTGCATTGACAATCCAACACAATGGGCAGTACACTGAACACATTTTATAAGTGGTCAGAAACTTGTAAATAACTCATATAAGAATAAAGTAACGTGAAAACCAAGCACACCATTGTTTTTCTTGTGAAATTCCCAATAAGTTTGATGTGTCACATGACCCTCTTCCTATTAAAAAAAACAAAAGTTGGATCCAAGATGGCCGACTTCAAAATGGCCACCATGGTCACCACCCATCTTGAAAAGTTTGCCCTCTCACATATACTAATGTGCCACAAACAGGACATTAATATCACCAACCATTCCCATTTTATTAACTTGTATTCATATATATGGCCCACCCTGTATACATAGTAGCCTAGCAGGTGTACAATTGCATTTCTGAATGAGATCCAGAATTAAGCAGTTACTGCTCCTTCTTATGCACAATGATGAACAATGAAAGAGCAAACAACCAGGTTGTCTGCTTTGATAACAATGAACTTCACTGAGACCCCTACCCCACCCTCTCAAATTACAGGGGTCAACCCACTGAGCTGGGAAAATACTGAAATGCCTATTTATATGGAATAATCACATCCCTGATATACATACATTTATTAAATATTTAGCAAACAGTGTGAATGCAATATGAACAAAGATTCTACTGTTTCACACTGCATCTATTTTAGTTTTATATCTAGAGTTACTGAAGTTTGTCCTGCGCGCTTGCGTTTTTTTAGTTACTTCTTTGGTTTGGTGCGTTAATCTGATCATTACTATTATTCAAAAGAAGGTAATGATTCGCACTCAATTGCTTCATACTGTTTTTATTTTTACTTTTTCTTACATTTTACGGGTGATAACAGACAAACAGACGTTTCGGCACAAAGCCTTCCTCAGTTTTATGTCTACAAATTTCAGCTGAAAAACTGTTTGAGTATTCGTGCATTAGAAAAAAAAACTGATCATCTAATGACGAATAAAAAAAACAGTTTGCCATTTTACTAGTTTGACAAAAGGGTTTGCAACACTAAAACAGCAGATCCAGTGTTGAAGATGAAGACTGTATATAATCAGCTCATTGCACACATTCCTCAGTGATTACCAGCATTAATGTCTAGAACATGTTCAGGCTCTAATGTGTGTGAATGTAAATCTCTCAGACTGTAATGAGATCAGACTGGAGGGAATGTGATGCAGTACCTGTCACTCCAGGTGGGAGAGGAACTTGCACTCTGATTGGCTGAAGGAAGTGCATGCTGGGAGTTTGAGAGAGACGCAGCAGTGGACCAGCACTGGCATGAGGGTCTCCAGCCAGATCCTGCACCTCAGACAGAGCCACCTGCAGAACCTGAGGGAGAAAACACACTCACAAATGGATCAAGTTAACTTAACAAAAGCTGAAAGATTCGAGATTGGAACAGTAGCTGCTAGCAAACAATTATTACTATTTTATTTTTAAATTCTTAGCATTACTCAGATTACTATTGTTATCTAAAACAAAAACCATAGCTGTATTGTTTAAATGTTTTATTAATGAGATTTTATTAATCAACTTAGTTGTTAACTGTATTAACTATACCTTATAGTATAAATAACAAAAGTACAGTATCAGTATAATATGGGAAACTATAATTAATATTATTATTTTTAAATAATATTCACTCTGGTTCATTTATTATTAATATAATAATATTATTTATAATTTCTCGTATTAAAAATAGGACTATAAGCACAAATATTGAATCATGTAATTCAGAATTCTGTATTATTGTACAGACCTGCAGTGTGACGGTGCGCGTCTCCGCTGTACAGTTTGGAGGGAAACTGAGTTTGATCCCCGGGTCGCATTGAGAGACAAGCAGCGCCCCCTCTGGAGACACACTGCAACTGTCCAGGAATGGACAACACACGGCCACAAACCAGGAGAACTGAGACACACTGCAGCAGGCCAGCTACAACACACATCATAACATTCATGTGTCAGGGTGATGTTAAAGGATTGACAGTACTAGCGATGCCGATATATGATAACCTGATATTTTAGGCCTTTGTGGCCAATAGTAGATATTTAATAAGGCTATATTTTAAAACTAATTTTGGCCAACGACAATATCTGATATGCCGATGTTTTAAGCCATTTTGGGCAATGACAATATCCAATAAGCCAATATTTTTTTAACTAATTTTCGCCAATGATGATATCCGGTAATATCTGATAAACCAAAATTTTAAGCCATTGTGGCTAATTACGATATCTGATAAGCTGATATTTTAAATTATTTTGGCCAATAGCTGATATTCGATAAGCTGATATTTTAAGCCCTTTTGGCCAATAGCTGATATCTGATAAGCTGCTATTTTAAGCAATTTTGACCAATGACAGTATCTGATAAGCCGAAATTCAAAGCCATTTTGGCCAATAGCTGATATCTGATAAGCCGATATTTTAAATTATTTTGGCCAATAGCTGATATCTGATAAGCCGATATTTTAAATTATTTTGGCCAATAGCTGATATCTGATAAGCCGATATTTTAAATTATTTTGGCCAATAGCTGATATCTGATAAGCCGATATTTTTAAATTATTTTGGCCAATAGCTGATATCTGATAAGCCGATATTTTAAATTATTTTGGGCAATAGCTGATATCTGATAAGCCGATATTTTAAATTATTTTGGCCAATAGCTGATATCTGATAAGCCGATATTTTAAATTATTTTGGCCAATAGCTGATATCTGATAAGCCGATATTTTAAATTATTTTGGCCAATAGCTGATATCTGATAAGCCGATATTTTAAATTATTTTGGCCAATAGCTGATATCTGATAAGCCGATATTTTAAATTATTTTGGGCTATGGCTGATATCTGATAAGCCGATATTTTAAATTATTTTGGCCAATTGCTGATATCTGATAAGCCGATATTTTAAATTATTTTGGGCTATGGCTGATATCTGATAAGCCGATATTTTAAATTATTTTGGCCAATTGCTGATATTTGATAAGCTGATATTTTAAATTATTTTGGCCAATAGCTGATATCTGATGAGCCGATATTTTAAATTATTTTGGCCAATAGCTGATATCTGATATGCCGATATTTTAAGCAATGTTGACCAATGACAGTAGCTGATAAGCCGAAATTCTAAGCCATTGGGGCCAATAGCTGATATCTGATAAGCCGATATTTTAAATTATTTTGGCCAATAGCTGATTTCTGATAAGCCCATGTTTTAAATTATTTTGGCCAATAGCTGATAAGCTGATATTTTAAGCAATTTTGACCAATGACAGTATCTGATAAGCCGAAATTCTAAGCCATTTTGGCCAATAGCTGATATCTGATAGGCCGATATTTTAAATTATTTTGGCCAATAGCTGATATCTGATAAGCCGATATTTTAAATTATTTTGGAAATTTGGGCCACTGATGATATAGAATAAGCCAATATTTTGGGTCATTTTGTCATATAGCTGATATCTGATAATATCAGGCATTCTAGAAGCAGCAATATGAAATACGTTGTTTGTCTGTGATTGATCTGATTGGCTGACCCGTGCAGGACGTCCTCCAGGCCTGCAGCTGTGTTTGTCACTTCCTCTTCTGGTCATGGTGGTCAGTGTCGTCCAAGACTGACCATCAAACCTGCGAACCACCACGTCACCTTTCCGTGTTTTACGATAGGGAATACACACCCCAACCAGCTAAAAGAGTGACAGGGGGAAACACACAAAAACGTATTCGAATTTATTATTTTTATTGCTCAATAAGTTTATTAATTACAATTATTCTTTTTGAAATGAATATCATTTAAAATCATTAAAACAAGATAATTTCAGTTATTACATATATTTTATATTATTAGTTAACTGTATATTTTACGGCGTATATTCATTTATATTTATTAATTATTTTGTTTATGGTTTATAAAACATAAACCTTATGACTAAACTACTACACTAAAATTACAATTATGTAATAAATGGTGTTCATTAACTATAATTATAAATGCATACTTTTTAATTTATAATTTTTATAAATGATTAACTACAATATTTATTTAATAATAATATAATTTTGTAAGTAATATGTATATTAATTAATTATGATAAACAATATTAAACTGAGCTTTGTAAATATTTTACTCTTAATTTTTTATGATAATATTTCCTTATTATTTTAGATAATAAATAATTTATATTTATACCATAGTAATATTTCTTAACATATATATTTATATTAATAAAAACAAAAGCAATAACCTTCTCAAATGTGGCTCCGTGTGGGCGGAGCTCCAGCTGGCGACTCAACAGCACATCATGCTCCTCTAGCCACACCCACTTCCTGTCCGGCCTCTTCTCTGCCCACTGAAGCTGAGTGACCACACCTACACATTGCCTTGGAAACAAGAGCTCCGCCCCTCCAGGAAGAAACACGTGACAGCCAGCAGGAGACACTTGAAAACTGAGAAGAGTTACGATGAATCCAGCATAACTGAATGTACACTGCATACTACAGCGCTCCAGACTCCCTGCAAGCGTGACTAAATTTTGCTAGGTCACGGCACTACAATGTTGCCGAACTAATAAACGATGACATTCTCTTGCATATGAAAAGCATTCCCGAATGCAAGAAAAATTTAACATAACAGTGCTACTTATTTGTCTTGTATGTCACACAGTCCATTTATTAGTTTGGTTTAAAAAAGAGCTGTGACTAGAGCCGCGGGACCTGACCAGGTTTCTGCGGTGTGGGAATAAATTTCCAAGTAAAGTGCGGGAGTGGTCGGTAACTGGTTTTATTTTGGACGGGAGCAGGCAGTCCAACAATATCGCTCCCGACTCCCAAGCGAGCAAGCACGCGTATGTATGTGTGTGAATGAGACAGCATGATGGTTATAGAATCAGATAAGTCTCAAAAGAAATTCACGCAAAAGACACGATGTACACATGCGTAGCCAAATTCACGTGCATAAAACCAAATTCGCCTGCGTAAAATATTTATTTATATTCACAAAAAAATTTCACGTGCACAAAATAAAAATACATTTTCATAAAATACGTTTCACAAATGCAAAACACCATTTGCAAATGTATAAGAGTGTACAAAAAGTTTAGAATGTTTAAAACTTGCGAGTTCATCCTGAATGAGAATGTGCTAATCCTCTTTCACGTACGACTCCCCCTGGATACGTGTGTGTGTATTTTTGAGACTTTCCTGCCAGAGTCAGGGCTACTCGTACCTTTCAGCCAATCAGATGAGAGCTGTATTCAATAAAACCAACTCTGCGCTTCTTTTGCGCAGACTGTTCCTCTCCAGCATGGCGAACGGAGAAAGCAGCAGTCGCAATTTTTAAAATTTATTTATTTATTTGACCATATCCTCACTCTTTTTATCCATTATTTTGCCGCAGCTCCGCTCTGCTTATTTATTGTCTCGCAGCCCCATGAGCAGAATGTATCCTGCAGGGTAATTATAAGTATTATTCCGGCCACACTAGCATTGCAGTGCCATTGTGGTCCAGTGGTCAGCACGTTGGGTTACTATGCCCAAAGAACCGTGTTCGATCCTCACCTGAGTTGATTTTTTTTTTCATTTTTATTGTTAAGACATATAAAACTAAGGTTGTTGATCATTTGAAGTTCTAAAGCAGCTGTTTTCTTGAAAAATATGTGATAGTGTCATTAGAAACTGAATGAAACTGAAAAAAAAAAAAGAGATTTACTCAGGTGAGGAACAAGGAACAAAAAAACTGACAATACAACATCTGAACTGTGTCGTTGGCTGATAACTGATGACAGTCTGTTGAATTAATAAAAGCGAGTGGTCAAATGTTAGTCTGGAGCCCTCTGCTGTCTATGCAACGTAACATGTAGGCTCACCTGTGTTGATTGAATCCAAGATGTAGCTCTGGGATTTCAGAATCTTCCACAACTATATGTAAAAAAAAAAGTCAGTGTGATTTCATCCAGCAACCCAAACACCAATCAAAAAACATCCTCTAATCCGATTTGTTTCATGAATATATTATCATATTAAAAGCAATATAATATAGGCTCTAACCTGGGGTGAGTTGGGCAAGCGGAGGTGGTGTTGGCGGGCGCCCCAGCGGGTTGTTCCTCACATCCAGCTTGTCAAGCATCGGAAGTGAGTGTAAACAGTCAGGAACACTCCTCAGATCATTACTCTGGATTAGCAGCTGCCTCAGAGAGCGCAGAGACCCTGACGGACACAATTCAACCAATGCAAATTACAAAATGCAAAAGATTTTCATATCTCTTTCTGGGCTATTTCTCTTCTGTTTTTCCAAAGTCCAGATTTAAGTAATAAATCTTTTTTAAAAATCTATATAAATATATAAAGAATCTTAGATACTTAGATTATGCTAGAGTTGCATAATACAACCTGGTAAACAAATTATTCTAATAGTCTTTATTATTTTTTATAGTTTATTCTATTTATTGGTCTTTCATCTAGTTTGTTTTCTATTACATGAAATATTAGCTTATTAAATATGATTAAAAAATTACCACCAAATACATTTATTATTTATTTTATTTAATTTAATGTAATTTATTTATCTTTTTATCTGAATAAAATTCCCATATAGTTATATTTACATTTATTTATGTAATATAAATTTTTTATTATCCAATTATTTAAACATATTAAGTTACAAATATAGTTACATTTAAAATGACTTATTTATTATATAATATTTAAAAAAAACTATACTATAATTATTATAATTTTTTTGAATTATTATATGAATTATAAAAAATATATTAAATAAAATAAATTTTTACATTTTCATCTTGCCACAAAAGTATCCTAATATTTATTAAAATCCTAATAAATATCTTTAAAAAAAAACAACCCAGCATTTTTTTGTGAGTTTCATCTATTTATGTGTGTTTATGTATATTTATTATTTAATACAATTCTGTATGTATGTATTACACTCTAAAAAATGCTGGATTGTTTTAACTCAATGTTGGGTTTGTCCAAATTTGTTTATGTTTGGATATATGTCCATAT